CTTTATATTAAGAGGATTGAATTTGTATATTTAAACATAAACATACGTGGAACTCGCATATAAGAGAACCCATTATCTTTTCGGTATGTTTGACCTATTATGCCCTCACCCTCAGATTGCATTAAGAATTGACCAACAATGCTAGAATTCCGCTCATTATGAGGTATTAATTCTTTTATTCCTGAGAGGGCAGACCTTACAAATGGATTAAACATAAGATGTTCTTGATCATTATAAAAACCTTTATCTATACATATAGGTTGAATTGGAGGAGAGATTGCCTAATAATTTAAATCGATGAAATGAGATTAATGAGGTTAATTGGATTACAAATAGTAATTGGACGTATATGCCTAAATATTACTTTTGTTTTTTAAATTACCTTTGGCATATAACATAGGTCCAATACAACCAATTCATGCCTAGTAATATTTTCAAAAATATTTGTTAAATTACTGAGGACCGATGATTCTTCAATATTCATAGGTGCAAGCTTAGATGCTGTTTCAGCAATCAGAAAACGAGCATATGTATTGGTTGGAACGTCTGGATAGCTAAAAAAAATAAACTCAGGAATGTTATTTCATCTAATTTGAATTTTAATTCAATAAGTCAAATTACGACACACCTTTCACCATCTTGTGCGATAAAAAATTTTCTTCGAGATTTATATACTCGTCGTAAAAGATGAAAAAGCCACCGTTGCAAAATATTACTAAAAAAAATTTCAGATGCTTCTGAAGGGCTGGTATCCACAAATTTTAAGAATGCAAATGTGTCTATACGAGACAAGATTAAAGGTAAAGAGCATTGTTTAAAAATATATAATTAAAAAATGTGTTCAATTTACCATTTTGTTCGTCCCATAAAGATTCATTAATATAATCCGGTCTCCATATGTTCATCAGATGATCAAAGACATACGAACGCGACCCAGCATTAGAATTATTACCGGGTACATTCAAAAAGCCTGTCAATGTTATAATCAATATTAAAATTTGAATTTTTTTAAATAAAAAAATACATTAAAGGGAAAAAAAACCCCCACCTCCACTTCGGAATATCGTTTTAGGAATTTTGTATGCAAGCGCACTTTTTGTAGTATATGGGAGGTATAAATGTTCTTCTCGTGATATAATAAATGTAGAGCTGTAATTACAAAAGGCAAAAGGAGCCGATACATCTGCTCTATCAAATAATTCCGGATGATTACACACTTTACGAAATTGCATTACTAAATTCATTAGACTATCGACATTATCATTATCAGGCCATGTTGCAGCCTTTTCTAACAATTCTGTCACAGAAATCTTATCACGAAGACCACGGTATAGAGTACGTTGCCTCGCTGTTAGCTGGCAAAATACTTCTTTTTCTATTTTGTCCCCAAGTTCATTTTGAACATTTTTTTTTACACGACGCAACATGAAAGGTTTTAATATCATGTGCAACCGTTTAAGTTGGTGCTCGTTTAATGAACCTTTATTTTCAGCATGACTTTCAATATCCTTAGAAAACCATTCGCTAAACTCCTGATGAGAATCAAAGAGAGTCGGCATAATAAAATGTAAAAGCGCCCATAGTTCCTGCATACTATTTTGAATTGGTGTACCAGTCAACAAGAGTCGATTACGGCATTGAAAGCCAAGAAGAGTTTTCCAGCGTGCACTAAAAAATTATCAGCAATTACTATGTGTCTTTTAATGTAAGGGACCATTTATATAACATTATATATTACCTGGTGGAACTCTTGATAGCTTGTGCCTCATCTAAAATCATATATTGCCATTTTGTTCTTGAAAAATAGCCTTGATCTTGAACGATCTATTGAAAAAAACAATTAGGTTTGTAACTAAATTTATGTAACTCTGTAAGAGAAATTTTATTAATACCAATTGGTAGCTTGTGATAACGACATGGAATGGGGCATCTTGATTAAATATTAAATTTCTCTTATTTAAGGATTTTCGCAGTATAGCTCGGTCTTTCATAGTACCCCAATACGGCAAAATCTAGAATAAAGTATGATTAATAATATACTTATAACGTAACGATATCCGAATTGGTAATTTACCCTAAAAGCAGGAAGAAATTCAGCTATTTCTTTTTGCCAATTATGAAGAGTAGAAGCTGGAGCGATTACTAAAAATGGACCCCATATATTATGGGTCTATAAATATAGACTATATATTAGAATTAAATACTAAATCAGATTTTACCAATAATATAATTTACAATTACCTCTGCAAGATGAGCCATTAACGATATAGATTGAACCGTTTTTCCCAACCCCTAGAAATCGAAGTCAAACAATATTTATAGTGACAAATTATAACAAATTTAAAAACGTAAATAAAACTAGATGCATACCATTTCGTCAGCCAAAATCCCATTAATACCCTTTATAATGATTATCACATTTATACGCAATCAGTGAAATATTTAAATAACAATATATGAGTGCGGGAGAGGGAAAAGGGCGCACTCGTTTTTTTTTTTAGTAAGTTATTGATTATTTATCCGATTCAGCTTTTCTGATTTACAGCATTTCGGGCATTAAATATATATTATCGATATCGGATATATTTAATGCCCGAAATGCTTTAAATCAGAAGGACTAAATCGGATAAATAATCAATAACTTACTTAAAAAAAAAAAACCGAGTGCGCCCTTTTCCCTCCCCGCACTCATATGTACATAATAATATAAATACCTGCTCATAAAGATTAGCTAGCCAATTTAATCCTCTTAACTGATAATCCTTCAAAGTAACTTTTACTAGTATAGATGGTTGTTTAATTTCTGCCATTGATGGCATACTGGATGGATTTTGAAAGTTCATTTGATCCACTATAACAATAATAGTAATAATAATAACAATTATGAAGCGAGTTTATTAACTAATCCTAGGATAAAATCGAACTATAAAGTTATACTTACAATCTTGATTCGTCACAGAAATCTCGGTTGGCCCACTACCGGTTCTTTCACCATCAAAGTCAGCAGTATGTTTTTTGACTTGTTTAAGAGCATTTTGCGCAATTATGCGCGCCTTCTCTCTAAGGGCATCTTCAGAGTCTATTCCATATCAAAAGCATTAATATAAATTAAATAAAATAATGCTATAATTGGATATTAGTTGTTTCAAGCACCTTCATCAAAATCAATATCCTCGAAAGATGGGAGAGCAGGAGCTTCGGATTCAGCATCCATATCCATGTCTATATTCAAATCTGCAGATGAAGATTCTGTAATTTGATCGTTGGTCACCGCATCAGCCTGGGTGGAATTTTCTGAAGTTTCATTTGTCGTTTGGGCTTTATTATTTAATTGTATAAAATAAAATATTTATTATTATTTTTATTTTAAATAAACGTTAATTTTCTTTAAATTAATAATGATCAAGCACTTACTTCCAATTTTTTTCCCAACAAAGTGACTATAAAGTTCAGTCTGAGTTATGAGGAAATTTAGTTTACGCGCTTGTCTCTTTGCTTCGCGTAGCTCTTCTTCTACTCGCATTCTTTCTAAAGCCTCTCTTTCTGCCTTTTTACGTAACTCACGTTCTTCTTTTTCATTACGTTTCCAAAACATGAGCATCTATTTTTTGAAAAACAGTTTATACGTATCACATATCCAAGCTAACATGATCTATTAATAATATACAATACCTGTTTATTAGCCTGCTTAACCCTACTTTGGATATCTTTTGCAGATTTACACGATTTTCCAGCAGCTTTACGAGCTTCCTTCTGGCATAATTGAGCAACTTTGCGGCAATTATTAGCCCGAGAAGTCGTGGTCTGAATGACAATCTTATTCATCTATAAAATGTAGTGCGGAACTTTAATTTTTGCCCTTTGCAAGAATCAAATGTTGGAATGATTTCAAACGCGTACCCTAGGTATAGCGTTACGGACAATATCTTTCCATATTTTTCGTCGTTCCTCTACTTCTAATGCATCTCTATGTTTTTGAGCCTTTGCATCATGAGCTGGGCGCCTCTGTCCACCAATATCACTCTAGCATAAATAATAATGAAGGTAAGAATTCTAAAATTAAAATTTAATAATGAACACGATGGTTATGTACTAACATCTTCATCAGTTTCAGTTGGTAGTTCTATATAATGATGTTTTCGTTTGTCGTTCTTATGTCTCGATCCACGGAAGCCTTTGATTGGACCCATACTATTTTCCTTATCAGATGTTCTACTAGGAATGCGTATACTAATCCGAGTTAAAAATTTCCGGCGGAGAGTTTCTTTCTTCATCTAAAAAAGTTATGTTGTCAGATTAAGAGAAAAAAGTTCTTAACAAGTACATCT